CACAGTGGCACAAGGAATTCACTCACTGTAAAAGATTATATTTTCAAATCCTGCAGAAAATTTAAACTTCATGGTTTTCCATATGGCTCTCATTTTCATGGTCCTAATGGATAGGCTGCTCCTTTTTAGAAATTCACTCCTTTTAAAAATGTATTTTTAAAAAACAAATATTATTTTGACAATAATGGATATGTCAAAATATATTTTTGATCTAAAACCATAATTCCCATTGTTGTGCAGGTGAAGAAAGTAAATGGTATACCTTACCAGGAATAGAATTACACAGATATAGGTTATCTCTAGAAAGTTCAGGTGGGTAGCTGCGTCAGCATGCGTAGGCTGCAAAGGAACAAGTAATAGGTTTATTCTCCACGGCCGAAACGTTGTGTTTTCTCTCTTCTTTTTTTCAGCATGGAATAAACCTATTACTTGTTCCTTTGCATCTCTAGAAAGGTAATCAGAAAGAGGAAATGCTGTATTTTATAGACAGTATGAACTACAGCATGTATGAACATTCCATAAAGCATGCATTTGTTGGTAAAAACCATAAGGTGATGAAAAATTATTTCTTCATGATTTTGTAATCCTGAATCCTATTCAATAGCTGTTATTCAAAATGTCATCCCACAGTACAATGGAAGAAAACATTTTTTTTTGCAACATTGTGGGATTCAGTCACACAGTAATCATATTAATTTCCTGAAATTTCTGTCATAGCACGCCGTTCAATATGAAAGATAATCATGGATAATTAACCATTACATTTAATTCCTTCCATGGGGCCAATGGAACGCACTTATACTTAACCTTTGTTATCTATAAGGCACTTCTTATGAAAGACAGATAAGCCAATATGTTAGACTGATTTTCCATTTGTCTTTATCTAACCATATATTTCAAAGCCATCTGCTTAAGTGAGAAAGGAGAATTAAATTACAGGGGCTAATAGTGTCATGGGTCAGATAAGGTGTCATGTCAATAAAAGATATCCAATGTTTTATTTTGATTGAAATGAATAAACTTTACAATATGTCAATGTCAATTGCAGAGTATTTCTATCTTATTGGATTTACGAAAAAATATTAATGACAAGCTTATATTCTTCCAAATTAAACTATATTGATAACAGTCAAAACTACTGTATTATACAGTGTATATTATAAAGCATTTGTAATATATGTCTACCATCAGTAGAAACACAAACGAACTTCTAAACTTTCCTTTTGGGGCTCTTGTATTACACACTGGTACCTGGAAGTCTCTGGGTCACATATTTTAATGACAGGACAGTAAAAAATTAGGTGGAACTAAAAAATATGCGTCACCGGGCTGGCTGCTTGGATAAAGTGTAACAGGACAGTTAAACAAATAAAATTAAGATAAATAGATAGGTAAATAGATATATATGTTTTTTTAAACAATTCTAAGGCCAGTTTTTCCTTAAATTGCCTACAGTATACCTTTTATTGTTTATATAGTTAAAGTCATGTAAGCATTAACATGGATACTGTACATACAGCAGAAGACTCTTACGGTACAAATGGATGAAACTTTGAAATAAAAACAAAGCTTTGCTTCCTTTAAAATATATGCTCAGTTCATACATTTTACTTCATGAATAATATAAGTGTAACAAAAAGAGTTACAGGTAGAACCATTATCATATGAGCCTTGTGTTTCCATGGAATTAAATTAATAATTTACAGTGTGACCAATACTGTATTATGATTATAATTTTGATTTGTGTCATGGTACTGTATGCTGTATGTGTATGAATAATTATGACTCTGTACAGTGTGATTACAATTACAGTATATTTTTTAAATTGTTTTAAGTAAGACACTATCAATCTTAACTCATTTTTTATCCTATGTTATTGTTTCTATTTTATTGAGGTTATGAATAGATCTAGAGGATACTGTATGTAATACATTTAAACACCATGAAGAAAAATGTCTAGATTGAGTAAACAACACAAAGCCAAAAAACATGTTTCAATTTGAAGCATAAGATCTGGGTTTTATTTGGGTTAAAAAATTTAACTGAAATATAATGATCACTGTTATTTTGGAAACTAAAAAAGAAAGGGTGTTTTCACATTCAGTGCCAAATTTCCAATAAACAAATTATGTTTAGTTAAACTAAACAAAATTTAAACCAATTTAGTTTTGTTCTAATAAACTAGTTTAGTAAACTTCACACTACTGCAATACACATACAAAACAAATTACTGTTATCCCTGTAATATTTGTGATAAACAATATTTGGAACATCAACATTTACAGTACATTAACAGGGATGTTAGGTCAGGCAGAGATACCACCACACCACCGCTATAGAATTGTAAGATTTTAAAATTCCATAAGAACAAGAATTTAAGAAAACCGATGACCTTCTTGTGAAATGCCATTGCCAGAAACTACAATTCCCATTGGGATACTGAAAGTGAGGAAAATACTGTACTATATAAACTGTGTATATATTAATTAAAAGGTTTAATATAATCAGACTGAAATACATCTGCTAGAATATGAGTAATTGTATCGTTTTATACACATTTGTGATACTTAACATTATTATGTACCTCTCATCGTTATAATGTTATAACTTTTTTATATGTTATAAAAAATGTCATTTTGCCATTAAGTTAAAAGTAAAAATTAAGACAAATAATCCTTCAAATTTGTTATTTAGCCACAAGAGCCATGGCACATGTTGATCATGTGTTTTTTTGTGTGATATGAATCATAGATTTCTCTATTTGATTTCAAGTGATTATGAACAGTAGATCTGCTTTTGTACTCCAGCACAATATTCATGAGCTTTGGAACAGTTTTTTATCAACTCTTATCAACTGAGGATTTACAATATTTGAAGCACTCTTGATTTCAAGTAAAGATTTTATACAGGCACTTCACGAGTGCCATGGCATGGCTGGCTTGCAAGGAGTGTTCGGAATCAAAGCAAGGCTGAAAATCAACACCTGGATCTATGACTCAACATTTACAGTACATTAGTACGTTAGCAGAACAGAAGACGTAAGTCAGGCAGAGATACCAGGAGATGCCAGGAACTAAAGAATCAGACACAGAGGGAAGTTAGGCCAGACAAGCAAACAGACCTGAACAAAACAGGAATACGTCATAAAATGAAATAAAATCATGTCAGATTGAGACAAGGGAACTGGCACCA